GTCCTGGCTCCATATCCATTCTGGGGAGCGTCAGTCCAGTTCCTTTCCACCGGCAAGTCGAGAATGAAAAACATGGTGAACACCCACACGCTTCCTTCAGTCTGGCTGAAGGAACCCTGATCAACATTGATTGCTCCCTATCAGGAGGATTGACTGTCAGCTTGCCCTACCTCATTTCCTCTCAAAGTCTACATTGTCTCTGCCAGATAGTACTTGTAAAACAAGAAATGGGGAGAGTTGTCTTAGACTGTTGAGATTGCAATCTCAGTTTGCTCCTTCTTGGATCCCTGTTCATGTGCTGTGCCACTTCTTCCACACCATTCTGTTGTCCATCACAGTAGCGATCTTTCCTTGTAGAAGCCAGTCTCTTGTAAATTTGCGTTTCTTGGTGGTTGTTCTTTCTGGTCTGCCTTTCGTCTTCATGGTCACTTCTCGCCATCTGGATCGAATCTCTGTTTCTGCCATTCTCAGCAGTAGAGCCCACATTTCTTCTCTTGGCACCCCGGTTCCTTCGATCGTCTTGGAGCACCTCCTTTTCCAGGTTACCCATAGAGCCAACTTTCTGAGTAGGTGGAACCACACTTCCTTGCCGCCTTTGAGATTGTTAGTGTCGTTAGATAGGAGCAGGATGTTCAGGGGGGTTGTGGTCGGGGGGGGGTGAAGAGAAGAGAGAGGTCCATAGGACGCGCACTTTGTTCCAGATCCACGTTGCTTCCGTGCAGTATAAGAGGCAGTGTGGAGTGCGTCCTCCACAGCGTTGTCTGTGCACAGGCTACATATCTCAGTGTTGTCGGGGTTTGTGTGTTTTCTTCTCTTGTGGAGCCACTGATTGGTTGGCAGAGAGGCGTGTGCTAAGAGCCATTGCATGCTTTGAATCCTAGCCGGTCTAATGGTTAGGAGTTTAGTCCACGGGATGGTTATGGGGGTCGAGGGATCCAGACTCAGTATATCCCTCCACTTGCTTCTGAGTCTGGGGTCTGGGTCTGTGATCTGTAGGCCTAGATCATAGCCGAATTTGACATCGTATTCTGCTATAGTTCTTGTCCTCCCTGAGTTACCCTGTTTCCATATCCATTCTTTCGGGTCGAATTCTAGCTCTGAGATGCAGAGATCCGGTCGGAAGATTTTCCAGGGTTTGGACTTTGATACCCTCACTTTTCTCAGTCGAAAAGTCTCCAGCCTCTGGCTCTGGGGGTCGTTGTTCTGAACTTCCATTTCATTTGTGTTGTGTTTAACTACCGGGTAGGAATAGAACTTGGATAGGTAGCCGGGTGGGTCTGTTCTAGCGACGAATTTGTATGCCCTGGTAGGCTGGGCTTGGGAGACTAGTATGCCCCAGTCCCCGGATTTCCACGAGAATTCCTCTCTTAGGAGGGGGAGCCATTGTGTTGGGATGCTATTTTGGATCAGTGTTAAGTTATCGAAGAGGGCGTGGAAGCCTTTTAGTGTGGTTCGTAGCTCCTGATCCGTAGCCCACCGTCCTTGGTCTTCTACCTAGATGTGCTTGACCTGCCATACTCCTTTTTCTACCCATGACAACCATCTGCGGTCCCGAGAGTGTAGGGTCCAGGTTGTACCGTTGGGGTCAGTGATCCAGGGATTGCAGAAAAGCGGTTGTCTCAGGACTTCTTCTTTGTTTCCTGGTGCCCCGTGTTTGCTCGACAGCATTTTGCGCCAGGCCTTGATGGTGGGGCTCCAATATTTACTGACTGCATGAGTTGGGTATGTGTTGAGCTGTGCAGGATTGTGCTGTGCGGGGTTTCTTCTGCGTGGTCTGCCGGACTTGATTGTCCAGTACTTTGCCATCAGCCAGAACAGGCCGTTCATGTTTCGAGGGGAGATGATGGGAGCTAGGTTTTTGATGCTGTCCAGCGCCATTTGGGTCCACGGGAGGAACTGTCTGGTGAGAATCTTGATTATCCGTTTCATCTGCAGTGCTATGGATTCCTGTTTTGGGTCAATTATCCCGAGGCCCCCTTCCTGTGGCTTCCTAGTGATGTGGTTCCATGCGACCCTGTTGATGCAGGTGGTCCTGTTGGGGTCACCTGTCCACAGGTAGCACCTTACCCTGTTCTTGAGCTCCTTGAGGTCGTTGTCGGGGGGGGACCGTATTGATGCCATATACCACAGTGTGGAGAAGATCGTTGTGTTGATCAGTAGTGCCCGTCTGATTAGTGAGGCCTGGGCGTTTTTGCACTGGGCCAGGCGAGTGATTGCTCTTGCTATTAGGTTCTGACCCATTCCCGACCACACTCCTTCTTTGTTGATCATGATGCCCAGGAAACGTAGTGCTTGCTCTCCCGTGGTCCAGGTTATGGGTGTGGTTGTGTCCGGGGGTTGGGGAGGGGTGTCATCTGCTAGCCACCATCCTTCGGTTTTATTCCAATTGACTCTCATTTCTGATGCGAGTCTAAATGCTTCCGTTGCCCTTACCAGTGATTGGAAGGAGCTGTTGTTTGCTCTAATGAGTACCGTAAGGTCGTCAGCGAACATGAGTGCAGTGGGTAGGGCGAAGTCGTGTAACGGGTTGAAGTTATGTTCTGTGAGGCGGTCAATGGATGGGTCTTTGCGGAGAAATGAGGCTATGGCTTCCATTATGAAGAGAAAGATGGGGGGGGCCAGTGGGTCACCTTGTCTGACTGATCGTGAGATTGGGTAGGTTTCTGATAGGATTCTATTGACCTGGACTCTTCCTGTTGCGTTTGCGTACAGGATTCAACTTCTGAAGTTCGGGCCTACTCCCATTTTTTCCATGCATGCGTGGAGAAAATCCCAGTTCACTTGGTCGTATGCCTTCTCGAAGTCCAAGAACAGGATTGCTGCCTTCATTCGTTTCTCCGTGATCTTTTTTGCTGCCTCATTCAGAGTCATCACGTTGTCCAATATGTAACGACCTGGGATGAAGCCTGCTTGATCGATGTGAAAGCAGTTGTTCGTTAGTTTTGTGATTCTGCTCGCTAGCGCCTTGGCTAGGATTTTGTACGGCGTGGTTAGTAGGGAGATAGGTCTGTAGTTTTTCAGGTCTTCTTTGTCACCCTTCTTGTATAGCAGTGAAACCACGCTGGTGCTCAATTCCTTTCCTAGGCCTCCTTTGCGCATGCTCTCGTTGAAAAATTCGAGTAGGTCCTCTCCCAAGGTCGGCCAGAAGCAGCTCCAGAATTCCTTAGAGAGGCCGTCGATGCCCGGGGCTTTGTCATTTCCCATCTGGTTCAGGGCTGTGTGTAGTTCGGCCAGGGTCAGTGGTTCCTCCATGCCTTTCGCCTGGCTAGACGAGATGGTTCTGTCGAGGTACGATAGCATCAGTTGGCAGGCTGCTAGGTTCGCTGTAGTCGGGGGTGAGGGGGTCTTGGATTCGTAAAGATCTGCATAAAAGGATCTGGCTATCCCTACCATCTCAGGGCCTGTAGTTTTTGTACTTCCTGCTTCCGATGGGTCTTTGAGTGCCTCTATCATGTTGTTCCTAGTGTTCGCCTTTATTTTGGAGAATTTTTTTTTTTGTCATAGACTCGTTAAGAGCATAGTCTGTCATCCTCGCACGTATTTGTAGACCTCTAAGTTCCCATCTCCATTCGTTTAGTTCTTCTTTGGTGTCGTCCAGTAGTTCTTGGTAGAAACTGCTGGTTGGATCCTCCGCTAGATTTTCTTCTGCGACGGCCATCGCGAATTGGAGTTCTTCCCTTCTTCTTTTTCGATCTCTAGCAATATCTCTTGATTCCGTTGAGACTGCCCGTGTTAATTCTGTGTAGCTGTCAATAAACCACTGGTGGCTGTATGTCCTCCTTGATTCTCGCTGTTTATTGATGGCCCAATTTTCTTGGACCGTCGCCGTCATTCTTTCGGTTTTTAATAATGAGTTGTTTAGCTTGAAGAAGCCTTGGCCTGTTTGAACTGGTACGTTGAAGTTGAGCAGCATCTGGCTGGGTTTGTGATCCAGTCCTTTGAAGGCTGCTGCTGGGAGGATTTCGGCCTCTTTGACTGTTCCGAGTAGGCTCTCGGATATGAGGAAGTAGTCAATCCTGGACAGTGAAGTCCGGTTGGCTTGGTTCCTCCTTATCCGGGAAAAAGTTTTCTAGTATCGTTCTTGAGATGCGATCCAGGTTTGGGTCCAGGCTTGTGTTCCAGTCCCCTGCGATGATCACTGGCTGTGGGTTGGGGATGAGGGATTTGATGTTCTCGAAGAAAATCAGTCTGTCGGATTCCGTGTTTGGTGCGTAAAGGTTGAGAATTCGCAGATCCTCGCCTTGCCACTTGATGTCCAACCACGACCATCTCCCTTCCTCCCTATGTCCCTCGCTGTTTAGGATCTGCCCTTCGATCAGTATTTTGGACGTTTTTGGGATCAATATCGTTGTTCCTCTATTGCTGTGCCCGTCTCTGTTGGACCATAGTGCGACTGCACATCCTCCTAATGATCTCTCCATCCTCTACTTAATCTTTGGGTGACTGTTCAGGTTGGATAGATGGGTCTCTTGGAGGCGTATGAGGTCGGGTTTGGGGATGTCCTTCCCCACCAGACCTGTTCGGATATCTCTGAGCTTGCCTTCATCGGCCAGTATGTTCCCGAGGCCGTTGACGTTCTTGGAGGCGTATGAGGTCGGGTTTGGGGATGTCCTTCCCCACCAGACCTGTTCGGATATCTCTGAGCTTGCCTTCATCGGCCAGTATGTTCCC